CAGATTAAATTCAGTTTTATTATTAAATTTGTTAAAACCGTCGGATTAAGATCGTCTAATAGGTATTTCTTTATATATTGTGGTTATTTATATTGTTATTTTACATCATAACAAGCATATAAGGCAACAATAAACATACAAAATGCTAATAAAAAAAATATTATGTAATTGCAAAAAAAGTTATTACTACATTTCTTATACTTATGTCTTAGCTTCGTAGCATTTTGAAACATTCAAGTCAATTGTGATTAAAACAATAATAAAAATCACCTCGAAAAGGGACAAATTGATTTATGACTCTAATAAAAGCACAAAATTTTTCAACAAATTTCTTTTTTCGACGAGAGTAAAGTAAATTTGGGATGTACATCGAAACAAGTATAATATATGACTCAATGTACGAATCATCGTTTAATATACTTCTTTCAGCAAAATAAATTGTACAACTTGCAAAAAATAATAACTTACCTACTATTCTTTATATATAAATAGTTTCAATGAAATTTTAGTAACGAAAATTTATTTAATAATGTAAAATTTACATTGAAACGTAATTGAAACGTGCGTGTTCAGATTCTTTAATTTAAAAAAAAGTATCACTTATATATTGTTCTATTATTATTGTCATACATGTATTTAAATCTAATATTTTAATAGTATTTATTATTTCGATATAGACATATTTTTATAGTAGTATAAAAATTGCAAAGTGAATGACATTTATCATATCAATACTGATCGAAATTTATACATATATTTCTTTCCTTTTAAATAATATTAAATAGTAAATAGGTATAATATAGTATAGTTAAGTGATGCCATAGATTTCAGCCAAATCTTATTTGTATTACTACAATTCATGCTAAATAGTGAAAATGAATTAATCGTCATATTTTATCGCTGGAAACAACATGCTTCCTAGTAATTCAGAACGATATATTTTCGTAAAATATTTTTAATTTATTTAAACTAATTCTTAGTGATTTAAACATACAGCCACTAATTTATAAATATTAATAACTGCTTGTATAAGACACTTTATATTTAAAATATGCCTATCTCTGTTTAACATAGAAATATCTCAACATAATATAACAAGCTATTGGAATCTTTACATTATTATGAAATATGACAAACATACTTGTATTATATACATTTCGTAGTTTCATCAAATTATATTTTCATATATTAATTGGTCCCATCGCATATAAATTGTGGTTCTTCGTTGTTATTCGAGATAAAAATGCGAAGTGTCAATGTTTTCCAAATGCCAATCAATCTTTACAAATTACGAAACAAAGACTGTAAAAAATATAATCAAATTTTAGTGTTAAATTACCAGGAAAACGTCGATTCGTCCCTAACAGTAAAATTCCCACCGTGGGAGAAAACGAACGACCCTGAAGAAAATAGACCAATACACCGTACCACTAACTGTAAGCACCTTTCGAAGAAGAACACCATCCTAAGGATATCATCTTCCGGAAAAATGAGCAAAACAATTTGTGCACTTTGACGGAGAAGAGATTCATGGAGGGAAATCCTTGGGATACAGCGAAAGAGCCTCGATTACAAATCCTTCGACGAACATTAAACACGACAAGAAACTGCTTCGCGTAATAAAGTAGCTGGTCAGAACGAAAAGGGACAAAGGGGCCGAAGCAGGTGCAGCACCCTCGAAGGCAGCAATATTTAGGGCACGGGCCACGAATTTTAGCTTAGCGGAGGTGGTAGGAAAGTGGCCCCCCCCCCAGGTAGAAGGGAATTTCGAAAGCGTAGGTAAGCGGCGTGCTAATCGGGTACGCGGACGGCAAACACTCGGCGGGAAGGTGGGTCTCGTTGAAGAAGGGACACGTGCATACATACGTAACGTATAGAATCGGTGAAACGCGACGTGTTCGACGGCTAGCCGGAAGGACGGTGTATGGTGGAGGAGCAAAAGGTTGAATACAGGACAAGAGAGGAGAAGGAGGGTCCGATGGGCTGGTACCCACCCAGATGGAGGTGGCACAAGGAGGTGGGACTCTTCGCCTCGTTCTCCACTTTCAGTGGCAAGTCCGAAGAGGCAGTCACAACGCGACTGCTCTAAGAGCCAGGCCGCCCGCCGCCACTCGACCACACACCTGTGTGGAAACCGTGCATCGACGAGTGCGCGCACACCTGTGTGCGTGTGTGTGTGTCCATCTTGCACATTCACACGGGAACCCGAGGTCGACAGTCGACGCGCCGCGTCCACCACCTGCGGAATTCCACGCGTGCGACGCGACCGACCACGCGTCCGACACAACTGTGATAAAACACATCGTCAATGATAAATCACGATCGAGCATCGTCACTTGTCGCCTGTGCCGAAACCAACGTGGATCCCGTTACGGGACGGTAGCGTTCGTCGTCTCTAGTGATACGTGCTTCTCGTGTAACAGCTGTCAAGTTCCACGTGTACCGATTAGTAGAACGATGTGATTTACGCGGGCCAAAAAGCCGAAACGAGCGACACGTGATATTTTTTACACTCAATGGTGTACGACGAATAGTGATGGTGGACATGTTACGACGAAAGCAGATCTACGTCGATCGTCCCTCGTGGAGTCACATGTACGAAAAGACGAACGATAGTGGTACACTATACTGAAAATTTTCGTAATACTGAAAATTGCGCTGTCGTGTTACCAAAAGTATCTCAAGCATAGACAGAGGATCGTGTTTGCAAGGTTACACGTTCTTGGTGGTAAGTTTGAAATTCTTCAAGTTACGTATTTATATTTCTCGTCGCACAATTGTATTTTATTTGTAAGAGAGAATCTTACAATTTCGCGATTTGTTTGCGATTATACAAAAATATTTTATGCAAAAATGTTTGATCCTTGTACATTGCATCATGTGGAAGCGTAAAAGAATCTTTCTACGTGTCAATGATTAATTAAAATTCACACCGTGTATAAGCAATATATTTGTTCGTAATATATAATTAGACAAAGATTGAGATTATACAATAATATCTACAGGCATACTAGTTTCTATTCCGTTGATCTAATTATTAGTAGTAATTATGTATATGGTTTTCACTTCCGAAACTTTGTAATTATGCAAAATACATCCGAAAGTGTTTATGCATTGATAATAAATATATTTTGTCGCATGAATTTTTAGACAATGGTACCAAATAAAGATGCACGATATATCTATGTTTATCCATTGGGAATCAACGCTACGTTAACGCAACATTTCATTTGCAATTCTTTTCGATTAACTTATATTAGATTCCATTTTCCTTCCAACTATTCGTTCAATATTTTTTCATGGCTATGTCTTCTTGGATTTTACAATTTCGTAAAATTAAATTGAATTGAAATATTTATAATATCGTGATATTGTTAGATCAACAGTGATTAAAAATGCGTGTTTCTGCGTATAATTTTTTTCGATCAAGAAAACATCGATATTGCCAATCGTATGTGCACATTATTTGTCGACAATGGTAAAGGGTAATATTTATAAAAAGAAATAAAAATAACGTTTAACGAAATTTATTAAACACAACACTGTAATAGCACGTATGTGTGTAGCGCGCGCGTTTACGAATGTAAATCTTAGTTTAACGGGAAAAAGACCGATCAGACTAAGAAACGGAAGCTCGCACTTTATCGCTCCGACGAAATCGACAAGCTGTAAGAGTAGTATATAAACAACACAAATACAAAAGCATAAGAGAGTCAGCGGTGTAAGTAGACGGGAGAAACTATATACAGTTCTTACCTTCCTATGGTGTCCCGTTGCAATTCAAGATCCTTCGGAAGGTCCTGAACTTGGAATTCACCCTCTTAGTGCCACCTCCGTCGGCGGCCTTGACTCCTTGTCGTTCGCTTTTCATCGTCCTCGAAATCTTTACGGCACCTGCTTTATATTTATCGTCTCCGGCCGGCGATCGATCCGCAAAACTTCATATTTCGAGTTTTCGAGCGAGTTTCACGAGCCCGTGGATATCGTTCTCTTCGATCGTTCCTCGTGAATCGCGCAGTCACGATCCCTCCGCCTCGCTTCTCGACGACTATAAATTCCGTGCAATTAGGCAACTTTGAACGATGCCGGCGAAAAACAGCAGGCAATATACGTACGAAGGAAAAATATACGGACAAAATTCTGGACAAAAGTCGACGTTCCGATGGAAGAGTCGCAGGTCTCGTCCGGAATTACCAAGAAAGCATACTTTCTGCCAGCGTGCTCGCATTTCCACTAGGAGAGAAACAAAAAAAAAAAAAGGGAAGAAAGATTGGGGAGGATGTCGCAACGTGGAGCGATCATCGCGTGGAATCTCTCGTGTGCGTGCCGAAACTTTTCTTATCGGTTCCATCGGCTCGCGGATGAGCGTATAGATTCGTGGTGGCTAACGGAGAAATAGAGGCGAAGCAAAGCTAGACAGAGAGAAATAGGGAATAAGGAGGGTTGGGAGGGAGGAAACGCGGGAGTTAGGGCAACAAGAAGGAGCGCGTCTCGCATGGAACAGTAGATTTCCCCGAAGTAGAAAGGAAGGAAAGGGGTAGTTGGTGGTCCGCGAATGTTGGTTGGAGCGGCAGGACACACGCTAGGGGTGGCGAGAGGTGGTAGGTAGTAGGTTTGCGCGCGGGGCGGTAAAGTGACGAAGAGGAGAAAGCATGTCGGTGAAGAAGGGTTTGGCGGGAGAGAGGGGAAGGAAGCCGGTAAGAGAGAGGGAGGTTGGTTAGTCAGTGTGCGAGCAAGTGAGTGGTGGCGTGTATCGTACAGGAAAAGAGAGACGACGTGTCGTTTTGGAGGGAGAGGTTTAAGGAGCGAGAGGGGCGGGGATCTTAGGAGGGGCGCCTAACGTCACGGCGCATTCACTCACCGGCCGTCGCCGACGCCGCTGTGCCGCACACGCAATCCACACAATACGGTCAGTTTTCTCTCAACATTCCTTTAGTGACGCCGATTTTTCCCCCCCCCCCCTCCCCCCGTTTAACATCGCCCCATTGCAAGTTTTTCCTTTTTAACCTGCTCGTCGAGTTTACTGCACGTTCTACACCTGAGAAATTGCTTTCAAGTGACCACATGGTGAAAATCAACTGCATAATTACCTGGCCGAAGAAACGACAGTACACCGATCGACAGTGACCAATCGAGTGATACGATATATACACGCGGGTGTCCCGCGCACAGGAAGCAAATCTACATACCGACGAACATGTTTGTGATCTTATCGAGAAGACAATGGGTGACAGTGAGGAATCAGCTGATCGTTTAGGGGCGCCACGCTCTTAGCCTTTCTCGCGCGCGCTTTCTATCTGCTTCTCTCTCTCTTTCTCTCTCTCTCTCTCTTTCTTCTCCTTCCTTCCTTCCTTCACCCCCCCCCCCCTCTGTGTCTCTCTTTCCTTTCCTCTTGACTCGTAGGAGACTCCTCTTCCCTTGACGCATACACAGTAGCAACCGCCGACTATGTTTGATTTTCCCGCCAACGAAACCACGCTCCAACTATATGTGTTTCCTCGATCGGTTGCCACGATCAGTTATCAGTGTAAGTTGTACATTTCGTACGGAGTTTCTCATGTCGAGATGAAACAGTGCGAGAAAGATTCGTTGGAATCGTGCAGCAGATGGAGGAATTGCATCGGAGAGGTTCAACTCGTAATATGATCGGTTGGTTATCAGAAGAGTCAGTGTTATGTGTGTTATGTTTCCTTGTTGCGTTAATCTCGTGTGAAAGAAACGGTTTGTGTATCTTATTCTTAGGTGAAACGTTCTCAAAAGATATGAAAGAGATCGATCGATGAATCGACCTTGTCGTAACTGCTACGTTGCCGGATGCCGGCGTAAACGGTCGAGTGTTTGCTGTAAAGAAATTTAAAATTCGAGGTAACAAATTAAATAGCTCAATTGGCCGGTTTGGTCTGCTCCATTTGCTCGTGTTCCATGTTCGAAAAGGACAAAGAACGAGAAGAAATCGTTGGGAACAACCTCGCGTGCCGCGTACGTTGATAACGTCCACGACTGTTTCTCTTTTTATGCGATATCTTTAACTGTAATTTTCTTATTTCTGTCCCCTTTTGTCCACTATCTGCTGCCCGAATCAGATTTTCACGTGGTGAAATTAGTCATTTAAGTATTACGAGCGAATATATGTATACGATGAATATCAAGGATTTTAAAATATGCTAAATCTTACTATCATTGCATATTGATGTATTTAAAGTAAAACAAAGAAAGAAAAATAGAAAACACGTTCTGTTTATTTCAGTCATTGATTTGTCAATAGTGAAAAGTCGAATACACGCTCCTGGTCGTAAGTTATTAATAGAATAAAAACAAATTGACACTATAGTTGAAAAATTCAAAGGTTTCTTTCAAATACCAATGTTTCAGATTTATTATTAACATGAATAAATACGACAAATTTTTTTTTTTTTATAGTAACTAATAATTGATCTATAGTTCAGTCATCAAAGAAAGAATAATATTACGCCATCGATTATTGATGTGTTAATTATTAATATAATAAATATTACGTTTGATGATTCATCTATAGACTGAAGAGTAATATGTACGTAACATCTAATTCATATTTTGTAAAATATAATAGTAGCAATCATGACAAATCGTATAATATCTGTAGAAAAATTTGTACCAAAAGGTTAAAGGAAGTTACCATCGATATTTATTTAAGAAAATCATTCAATTTTGAATACATAGAATTTTCTAAAATAATTCCAATTTTGTTTTTATTAATTTTAACTTATCTTCTCAAAATCTATAGCAAACCCAACGGGACATTCTGCAACGATTTCTTTTACTAAGTTTCTAAACATATTCTCGTTGAGTGAGAAGATATTGTCATTTGTAAATAATTGTTTACTCATTGTTTGCAACATTTTTTTTCCAAGGAATTTATCCTCCCTTTATTCACTTAACGTTATCACGGCAGTTAAAAAATTTCCTCTATAATTTAGAAAAAAATAAATTAGAACGTGCTTGGAGCTTCGTTATAAAATAAAGTATCTAGTGTTGTTACATCCCTTAAAATTCATTTGTGGTATCATGAAGGATAAGACTGTTCGGATACCGTGTATACTCTTTCGCCGAAGTCTATCCCTGACTTGAGCGAAACTGCTCGTAACTAACGTAGTAACGTACAACAGAAGACAAGAAAAAAGGAGGATGATAACACGGGACGTATCTGCAAATACCGTAAATTTCTACTTTTTCTGAACACGTGCGAGTTTGACAACAAACTTGCGGCGAGTTTTCGACAGACGCACAGTGACGTACCGCTATTTCGCGAAGCCTGCGGATCCGTATGACTCTGGCCAAATTGAAACTCGAATAGTTTCCCTTTTTTTGCGGTCTTTTCCTCTTGGACTAACATCCAGCCACGTGTATGAATAATGCACGGCACGAAATTCGAACGAATTGTCCAAAATGTTCTTCCCAGTGTTTTACCACGATCAAAAAAATAATCGAAGCCACGACACGTTGATCAATGTTCGAAATGTTCCTTCCTGATCGTAACGTAGATGGTTCTGTCTTTGCGAAACCACGAAAAAGAATCACTTCATTTCCCTTCAATGCAATACTATGATGTTTATCGTACAACATGACATACTTTGATTCAAGAGAAATTTCAAATATATGGGCGAATTGTTACGAGACGCGTACATTATTTCAAAAATTGACTTGTATTGCAAACATCGATAGTAAGCTATGTGCTAAGGGACGAAGTTTGTGTGGTTCGTGTTGGTTGTGTAGTTTGTGTTAGTTCAAAGTCTATTAATTTAATGTTAATTCTTCGTGTTAGAATTAGATGTAATGTCTTAACTTGGGTGATTTTAATATCTATGTAATAGATTGAGAATCATAAAGATCTCGAGATCATTCGTATGTTTCAACTCTCGCGAGGATCATTCGTTTAATTGTAACTTCACGTTTGCCAGGCACGTTACAATAATTTCAAAGATATATCGAACAATAGATTCTTATCTCCGTCGTACGTGATGGAATTAATTATTCGACATTCAGTATCTTGATCTTAACTCGTCGTACCATTATTTCTAATAGAAATTTAACAATTCTACAATGCAGTATGGTTATTTTTTTGAGAAATGATTCATCAATGACTGCGGTTGTAATTCTTCATTTATAATTCATTCTCTCTTTCAAAGAGCAATACAGTTAAGTAGAATTGATACAATGATTACAAAAACCATGAAAAAAAAAACTTTCGACATCAATCACTCGTTCAAATGATTTTAATTAGTGCATTTCTGGAGCTTATCCGAGCTTAATCACCATATGTAAATGATCCCATGTAAAATTGCAAATTCGAGTAATTTTCGTTGGCCGACTAATAAATCAACATAACTGAAATCAATAAATCTCTTTTTCTCTAGATAATAACGTGCAGAACATCATGATATATCTGCACGAGTTTCTCTAGAAAATTACATGCATTACAGCTAAATCGCCGCTCGATTGAATTTAATTCGTTGATAGTTAATGTTCTCCTTTTACGTTCTGCTGAAAACCTTTATCAAACGTAATAAGCTTTGCATTCGTGAAACATCGCTGTATGCCTATAAATTGTGCACCTAAATGTTCTGCAACAATGTTCGAACAATCGATAAATTTATTTGAATGAAGAAGTATGTAAAAACAGTAAAATAAAAGCTAGTAAAATTGCACAAAATATTGTAATCGCTTGTCACACGAGGAATTCTAAAATTTCGTATGTCGAACGTAACTGGAGTATATGTTAAGTGTTATTAGATTCGAAGGACATTATACTGTAATAAAAAAAAAAAAAGTGTTTTTACGTATATCGAACATTTATTCCAAAATATTCCATTCCGATTTCTCGTATTGCAGATTCTTAAATTTTTTGACATGATATTAATTTACATAACGTTCTAATGAACACATTATAAATAGTTTCGTATATAAAAGAAAAAATTGGTATATATACTGAAGAAATTTTAAGCTTCCAACAATCCATATAGTTTATACTATAATATCAGAATTACTTACGATTTTTAAAAGGCGCACGCTACTCATTAATATTATAGATGTAATAATTAAGTCGAGTCGTGACTGAACTTCAATTTTTTATAATGATAATTAATTGTCATGATTCGTCCGTAATATTCTTACCTTTTCGAACCCCAAGATGAAATTAAAATATTTCCCAATTATAAATTTACCGACGAATTGGCGAGAAAATCGAGTTCGATTCTGTATATATAGACGCTCTTGATTTTTATTCCACGTAGCCGTAGAACATCAAATTGCTATTTGGAGACGTTTTTATATCGAGGTAAATTTAAATTTGAACCGCAATGGTTTGAGTGTAATTAACGTTCATTAATATTATACTTTCGTGAAACCCCAAAAACTCTGTATAAAATATTCATCGTGTTTTTCCGCGAATTTCCGCGTACGCAAGCACTGATTACTAATTATTCATTCATGTATATTTCTCATTTCCATTTTATTTAGCTTTATCGATTTGTAAAGATAATTGTAAGATACTCGACTATTCAGAATACAAAAAAACCTTGCACGAAACGGAGAATGAAAGAAATGAGATATCAATCCATCACCAATACTAATCTTTATCATCGTTTCAGTTTCGATTTTAATTCCGAATTATTTATTTTCTATAATTCTCAATCAATCACATATTTTCTCTCCAACATACTCTTCGAAGATATTCATTTCCTCTTTGTCATTATCATATAAACTGGCACGTTGATCATCGATGTTTCTCCTCCTACAAATATTTTGGAGTGATTATCATCGACAAAAGAATTCTAATACCATCAAATAAAGAAAAAAATGTACTTTCATTGTACTTTCATCAATATTTTATGCAAATTAAAGTAAATTTCGCGTGGCGATCAACGTGCTGGCATTCTTTCCTTCGCTTTTGCCTGTCACTTTTTTACTTCGAACAAATTTCCAAATTCATATTCACCTTACGAAAACTAATAATTTTTTATACGTTTTTATTCAGTCTCCGTAATATTTGCCCTTTCGCTGTTTAATCTGTAATTTCTTTAATAACGTACTTAAATACGGGCCTCGTCGTTTTTTAATTCTTCCATCGTACAGTTCGTTTCTCGATCGTTTTTTTTTTTTTTTCGTAATTTTATTGGAACAGCGAAAGGATTACACGTACATACCATGTATAACATATAATGTATATACATCTCGGTTGATGTTTGCTGTTTTTTGATATTTATAGGAGAACAGCGCCGTTCAAGATAGTGTCGAAGGGGTGGCATTGTTCACGATACGTGCGTGGCCGAGTGCGTGCGTGCATGGAAGAGAAAAACGAGCGCAAGATCTTGCGGTACGAAGGAGAACGAGGCGGAGCAAGGTGGCTCCGCTAACGGCACGAGCGGCGGTGAAAAAATGTCGAGAGCCGCGGACAGTCCTGATGGGATGGCTTTGCAGTCGCACTATTCCTTACGATGGAACAATCATCAGACACACATACTTCAAGCATTCGAGGCGTTGCTACACGCGGAAATACTCGTCGACGTGACCCTGGTCTGCGCGGAGACCAGCCTCAGGGCTCACAAGGTTGTCCTTAGTGCTTGCAGGTAAGAAATATCTATTGTTCACCTCAACATCCTTCCGTTCGTACTTTCGTTTTTAACGATACATGTTCCATTGGCCTACGAAAGTACTCGAACGTTTCCAGAGTGAAGAAAAAAAAAAAAACATTTCTGCACGGCAAGGTGTCTCTGTTTTTATGGCATTGCACATGCGAAAATAAGCTGAAACAGAAAGGAAACACTGTTTCGAAATGTACTTAAATTTGGTCAACTTCGTAATGGAAATTTTCGTAAACGAAAAATTGTAGGGTGAAATTGTTTAGCACAAGATTTCCAATGTGAAAGTGTGTTTTGTTAAAAGTTGCCTTGGTGTACATGCGTTTGATAAATTTTGAAATTTAATTTTTTCAGAAACAAAGCGTCTTACGGAAGAATTTTGTTCCATATTTTTCACTTATTTTCGCATGAAACAATCTTCTGTCGATCGTTACACTAGTTGAAAATTAGTGTAAAAGTATACTTGACAAATTTTCAAATTCAATATGAAAACGAATGACGTGATATTCTAATTAGTATACAGTTGACACGATATTCTAATATTTTTTCGCCTCATTCATCTACGTAAAATAACATCTTGTATATAATCTATATATGAAATTTTATTAATATTGCAATGAGATCCGACTGTCATTATATTGGTTAAATTTGAAATCAATCTAAAAATGCATATATTTGCAAGGCATTTATTGTAAAGATATTATGGGTATTTAAATTATTTTTATGATAATTTATAATGAAGTGTAGGCTTGTCATTTTTATATATATTTTAAAAATTTTGCCACTATACAACTGACACAATAGTCAGATTTTAAAATATGTAACATATAATACATTCATAAAAACAATTACACGCACGTAAGCGTGAGCAACTGTAGATACACCACCGTGCACAAGTATTTTGGATATTTCTAAATTATTATATTGTAAAATACAATTTAAATTAATCTTTTTCATTTAGATTTAATTACGTTGAGAGAAAGAATAAATAAGTGTAATAATTAGGTAGTTAAAACTCTGCAAAGTGACTTTAAATATGTCTATTCGTTGTTGAAATTTTAGACCAGATTGGAAAGATTCATACAAAGTTTATGAAGCATCAGCTATTTATTAGAAATGAATGTGAAGCTTGAAACTGTCGAAAATGAAATGGAAAATTAAATGCAAAATTAAGTAGAAAAACGTTCGTCAATCGTAACTGTCGAAATATAAAAAAGTGATCAAGCTTTCAATGGAATTGCATTAAGTGTCCAATTATTTATGGATATCTATATATTTGTGTTCTGTTCGTTTATATTCTTTTCATTCATATTTTCTCTCTTATCGAATAATCTGTTGAAATATCGTTGACGCATTTTACCCTTATATCATGTAATATATATCAATGGTCGAGAATATTTAGCATTGAATTATCTATCAGTTTCGTTCGAAAAGACAATTATGGGTATAAATAAGTAATTTTAATTTCTATCACGTTATTATCAGGATAATATGGAAGCAATTTAATATATCAAGAAGTAAAACTTTTTGATTTTTTAATCTGAATAGCTATATCTATATATAAAATATTCCTTGCTAGTTTTCACAAGCTTCCACAAATTTGCACATATAGTTGTTAAAAGTAAAAGTTATGTAATAATTTGAATCTGAAAAAATAAAATTTTCCACAGCTTTCTTACAAGAGTACATATCTTAAACTCTGTGTTACAGTTTATTTTTGCAAATGAATAAATTATATTTTCTATATTTTCAATGTTTATATTTTTACAAGAAGAAACAACTATCGTTATAGGAAGAAACGTACTATTCTTATATTACAATTAGTAAACGAAAAACGTATCTCTTGTGTTGTTCATACGAACGATAGTGATTCGTCAATCTTATATGTATGTTTATACATAAAAATTCAAAGACGTACGTAAATCATATTGTCATAAATATAGTTCGTGTATTTACATTTTTTGTCGAACAGATTTCATTTAATTATCGCATATATCGCAGTTTTTATATAAAGCAAATTCTTACAAAAAATATTCTTTTATTACGTTATGTTCTATACTCACGAGAAATAACAATTTTCAAACAATTTTTCTGTTAAAATACTGTACATAAGAGTTTCATTAGAACAATATTAAACAGTTATCTGAAAAAGATATTTACTAATAATAGATCTCTCTTTTTTTAAAACTTATTATATATTGTATATATATATATATATCATTATATGTTTTACCGTTGCATGTATTTCATAATTGCAAGAAGAACTTACTAAAATATGAAACATAAAATTTCACAGGCAACATTGATGATTATAAGATATCCGTTATAGGATTTATAAGTGACAGTCATTTAAAAATTTACACAAAATAAAATAGTAACCGAAACTGATGGGGATTTAAAACACAAAAGAAATTGTAAGTCTACAGAATTACTTATTCAAAAAAATTCTGAAATATAACAGTAGAATATAATACAAATTCCTAAACAGACAATAGAACTCCATTTATTTGAACCAAATTTTAGTGAATTTCCGATTAAATGAATTTTTATTAGTTGAATCCACTTGTTCGAGTGCGAACGAAAAATCACTAATGGAGGAGAAAATCAGTGTACTTGTGTTATGAAAATTCAAATTATGTAAATTATATGTCTTTCGACAATAAGCTGAATTATATTATAAACTGACAATTTTTTCAGTACATTTTCAGTAACAATTATTCCAATATTTCATAGTAAATCTTATAGTCGTTCTTAATCCTGCATTGGATAGATTAGGAAGTTTTTGAACTTTGTACAAGAATTTTCACGAATTCTAAGTCATGAAAATAAGAGTAAATTTTAATCGTTGAAATAGAAAGTAAATTATGAAAAGATGATATGATATTAAAAAAAAAATTAAACTCATTAAAAAGTTAATCTCTTAAAAATTAAATCAGTAAATATATTTTGTATACAATTAATATATTGCATTTTTAGAGAAATCTATAACGAGAACTTTTTTCATGATCTTTCTGAATAGATTGACATTTCAATCTCCGTAAAATATTTTCCACAAAATAGTAAATTTAATCTTATAAAGCAGATTGTAAAAATCATTAAAACAACATTTTACATTTGAAAAATGAAAAATTTCATTGGTACAAGATAAATAAAACATCAAATATGTTGAAAACTGTTAAGAAGGATATTGAATTCAATTATATTAAAGATTAATAAATAAAATATCGGATGTTGAAAATTTTTCGAATTAATTTTCCACTAATGAACATAGGAACTGATAAACTTTAATTAATAAATATATTTATAAACATTACCAATTCTCTTATTTTATAATTTAATTAAATTTTTGGTCTAGAATCAAAGTTAATCAATCGCTGCACAGTGGATAATACATTATGTTCCTGTTTATTGAAATAATTAATATTAATTTGTACGTATTCAGTCAGCTTCTGAAACGACAAAATATGAAAATGCTATGTGTTGAATGCTTCTGTAAAATACGACTAAAACTTACCATTGATAGAAAGTACAACCATACCAATGGAGTAATAATGTTTGGTTGTTATTCCCCACGGTTCAAAATAAATCGGTGACTTCGTATTAGTCATATTAGAAATAGAATACCTGTCTGTATATCTGTACTAACATGATTCATACTTTTGCTTATTTACGTATATACTATGACATATGTTGAGCAAATAAAATTGATCATCGCTACCGACGAAAATATCTTCGACTGGCTACTAATTATCAAGCTACTATCATGAGTGCATAATAATGTTAAATAAAAAATATGCATGAACATAGGATAGAAATGGTTGGTTATTCCTCGCTGTTATAAAAGTAATTCGATAATATAATTTCGACATAAATTTTAAAAATAACCGATATTGTTCATCGATTTTCACATCACTAATTCATTTCAATTCAAGAGTTATACATTATTTATTCCAGAAATTATTGGTATCTTCGGGATAGTATTGAAAGTTTGAAGATTTTTTTTTTTTTTCATTTCTTTGAATTGCGATGAATATTTAGACGATACCTTTTGCAGAATTGAAAGAGATTTAAGCTTAGCTTCAAACTTCCGACGGTCCACAATATTTGTTGCTGAAACATTCAAGAAACATTTAATTCTTTAAATTTTACTGATTTATACATACGTTTGATGAATGTCATTAATATAGAGCCAACTTATTAATTGGTATGAAATTAGTGATATACTAAAATACGTTACATAATATATCAAAATAATATAATCTACAGTAATCGAAAATCAATTAACTTGAATACATGTTATACCAATGTGTAGGTAAATATTTTGTGTGCAAATGTTGGTAGTGGTAATCATAACAAACAATACGACGTCGTGTAGGAAACGTTCATATGCACAATATTTAGCATTGAGAGATAAATTTAGCTACTAAAATTTACACGTATAGCATAAAACTAATTTTTCATTCATAATTAGTAATAGTTATCTTAATTGCTTAAATCTTTTCATGGATGAACAATATATTTTTTTTTTTTTTCTACTAATTACCATCGTCTTTCTCCTTATTTTTAATCCTTATCAAGAAATTAATCATATATCATAATTAAATTGCCAATCTTTATGCAATTTTAGTTTATTTTATTTTAACGAACACAATTAAAGAAATATGATCCAAGCAGAAATGTGGTTCCCGTGAATATGTACATTTATTTACATTTACCTATATTTAATATTATACAAATTATTTAGAGTTGTCAAATAATAACGATCAAAATTTAGATAGTGACTTGATTACTTGATTACTTTCTTTGGAGGCATTTAAAAGATGAAGTTTATTGTGAGTTACTGACTTTTGATATAAATCACGTCGTAAAATACATAATAATATACAGATAGTTAAAGTTATTGATATTTTAAAACATTTAAACTACGTAAAATAAAATCGTAAGACAGTTCGATTTCATTTTTAAAATGTGATACCTCTATTTTACCA